CTGTAGAGCAGTGCTGTGCTCCCTAGGCTGGTGTTACTGCTCTGTGTCAGACAGACCTGGGCTGTGGGAAGCTGAAGAATGTGCCCCTGGCTGCACAGAGGCCATTGCTGCTGCAGGATGCTGCATCTGCAGGCCAGCGAGTGCTGACACGCAGCGATGCTGGAGGAGCCCGCCTTGGAGCCCCTGGAATGCCTGAGCTGTTCTGGGCCCACGGAGCTGTGGGCTGGGGAGATAGCACAGGAATGTGCACTGTAGAACTTGATCTTTTCAGTGCAGCTTGAACTGGTAAATGGGGCTTAGCCTAAGGATTTGTCCTGCTCTTCTACCTTGCTGCTTCGGTAGTAGAAAGGATGTTTTGTGAGTGGTTCAATGCATTGGACGTCAGCGTGAGAATTCTTGTCCTTAGCTGTTGAAATGACCAGCAGAGCTTTGGCTTTTGCTGGCAATTACCTTGAAGCACTGCAGTTGGTATTAAAGGGCTACTTACACATACCTAACTAATGTGCAGAGTAGTGTGGAGGATTTGTAGACCAGAATCCCAAGGACCTCTTAGTTAATAATGATCTTTGGCAAAAGTGAGGAAAGGGAGAGAGGAGCAAACTAATGTGCCTTGACCTCCTGGTGTCTTGGAGTGCTTTTTAGTAGTAAAGGTGTCCAATGTGGCATCATTCTTTAACTGTCCCTCCTCCACAGGAAAATCTTTGGGGAGATCCCATACTGGGAAAGATGTGGTTTGAGTAGCCTTCAGGCCTAAATGTGATTTCAATCGAGTGTGTAGTTTTTTGGGTTGCTCAGTGGAGGGGAGGAAGACTTTGCCCTTCTGTTTAATGTTTTCACACAGCTTTACCAGGTGGTTGGCCAGGTTACCCGAGCCTGTGGAGGACCAGCTGTGCTTCTGCTGAGGTGCTCTGTGCTGCAGTGTACAGGGAGTTGGGGTTTTCTTGGCTGTGTAACTGCTCCAGAGTAGCCATGATAAGCAGGAGTGTTCAGGTTCGTGGTGTTCTAGCAGGTGTCCCTTTTGCACCCTGCGAATGGAGTGGAAAATACAGATTTCTATATGCACAGCCCATAGATGGCTGACTCCTACCGAGTGTTTGGAAACTGGAGTGATTCTGCTCCATGCACATGTCTGTGAGTTGACATTTTGTCTGTGGGTTGTGTTAGTGGCTTGTTGTAGTCGTGAGAATGGAGAGAGGGGTGATCCTGGGGAGGAGCAATGGTTTGAAGGTCCATTATAACTCTGTCTGGTTTACTTTACTGCTACAAAATTGTTAAATCTATTCTCTTGAGATAACTAAATGTATGGTGTGCATCCGTGGGAGGTTCTGCCTCCCGGAGCTGTGTCTGTGGTGTTGCAGAGAGTATTTGAGGCTGTGGCGAGGACAGTGTGTGGCTGTTTCCGGAGGACGGGGCGGTAGCCGCCGTGAAGATGCGCGTCTCCGTGGGGAGGTGCAGCACACGCGGCACCGCCGAGAGTTTCTGTGTGCCTGCAGCAGGGACAGGTTCCCGGCTCCGCGGGGCTGAGCAGGTGGGGTGGAGGCGCTGCCAGCTGGGCTCTGCCGTGGGTTTCGTCGCTCGGTCCCTGTGAGGGTGTTGCTGGTGCCCTCTGATGGACGGTGCCGCTGGGCGCTGCCCCGAGCCGCTGCCTTGCGGTGGCCCGGTCAGCTGCTTCCTGCGGGCTGTGGGGACTAACCGGCTCATTCACACGTCCTGCAGCACTGTCCCTCAGGGGTCACCTTGGGCAGGAACACTTCATTACCCAGTCAATCGATCGAGACTTTAATATTTCTATTTAAGCATTTAAAATTCCATTTAAGGAGCGGTCACTGTAGTGAACTCAGTGCTGTGACGAGAGGTGCAGCACTACACAAGGCACAGCATCCCTGTCACAGTTCATCAGGTTACAGATGCTGTTCCCTTTTGCAAAAGAGAGAGTGATGCATTTTTTCTATTAATAAATCTCCATTCTTTCCCCTTATCTCTTATCTCATATTGTCTTCTGGTAGTTGTACAAATCCTAAATGGGTGCATGGTGCTTTGGGACCTTTTGGGATGAGGAGCTTCATGGACAACAAAATGTGAATCCTTTTGGTTAATTTTTGGTCGGATTTTGAGCAGTAGCCTCAAGTCCCGCTCTGGACTGTAGAACTCCTTGGGCTGACCTCCAAGGGAGCGACCTGCAGCCCGTGCCTGTGGACTGGGGAGTCGCTTCCCTCTGCAGGGTGATGTCCGTGAGGTGGGACGGTGCCGCTGCCACCCTCAGCCTGCCCTCGCCGAGGACGTTCTGCTGCTGCTGTTGGGCCCTCTAAACGGGCGCAATTTCCCATTGCAGCGGAGTTCCAGGGAGCTGTGGTCGCTGATGAGATTGGATCCGGGAACAGCAGCGGGGAGGGACGCGAATGGGGAAGACCTTCCCTCTGTCATGGCTGTGAGCTTGGAGGAGCGGGGCCGCCGGGGAGGGAGGACAGGATTGCAGGACTTGGGGGCGAGCAAGCACAAGAAGTCCTTTCCCATCGGGAAACCGGGGTGTGAGCGCCTTTCCTGTCCCGCCGGCTCAGGGTGGTGCCTTCGTGCAGCTTCTTCGATATCAGTTGTAAAGTTGGAGTTTAGTTTGAGTAACCGAGTAATTCCTCTCCAGCCTTTTCTCCTCCCTCCGCTTTCCGTTCCTCGGCTTTGCCTTGTTTGCTCAAGTCGGGAAGGGGGAGGGCATGGGGGCGGTTAATCATTAATCTTAACTCCTTCACAGCCATGGGGCTCAGTGCTCCGGTATTTCCAGACCTCCCTTCTTCCGCAGACCTGTAAAAGTAAACCGGTGCGTGTAGCCGAGCTCCCTCTGTCATCAGCAAAAGGCAGTGGGTGTCTGTCCCATGGATCGTCGGCACAGAGAGGAGCCGAGCAGGGCAGTGTCTGTGGCGAGATGGTTACAGCTGCCGGTCCTGCACTGAGGGCTGGAGGTGGAGGGTGGAAAATGGTTTGCGTCCCCTCTGCAGGGCCGGAGGAGCCCAACACCCTCACGGGATTTTCACTTCCTGGTGGAGTTTGAATTGCCTTTGTCATTGGAGGGGAGAAGCAAAAACCACTCCTTCTCGGCAAGCACTTCTCTGGGAGGTTGTGTGCGTGAAACCTCCAGTCACAGGACCTGCCTGACTGTAGGAATTGCGGTTCATCGGCACTTCTCTGGAGGTATGTGCCTTTCACTCGGAATCCACCAGCTGTTCTTTTGCTTGAAAAGATAGAGTTCATTTTTCCCCAGCTGCGGAATACTTGTCTCCCTTCAGAGGATGTACTTCTGGGATATTTTGGTCCCTTTAGGAAGATAGATCCTGTGACTTTAATGGTTTGGAGCATCTTTTTAACTAAATGAAAGGTGTATAATTTAACACAGTATTTAATTTGCTAATGGCTGTATCCTGCTCTCTGAGTGCAGGATTGCTTATTTTTTCTTCTGTGATGCTTTGGCCTTTTGAAAAGAGTGAATATAAAAGCAGCACCTTCCTCATCTTGCAATGCAATAATAACTGTCCTCTTCTAATACATTTTCTTGAAGGCTTGCTAAGTGCATTGGCTGCTGCGGAGTGCTGTGCTCAGGAAGTGGCTCAGGGCTGGCAGGTGCTGCCCAGGGAGCTGTGGGCAGCCATTAGTGTGAGCAGTTGCTCGGTTGCTATTCTGGTCCCACCAGCTCCTTGTGACCTGGGGGGGGACACTGCAGGGTGGCCACACTCAGGCTGGGCCCCTGTGCCCCAAACCTGAGTGCCAAGTATCTGCTGTGTGCAGGAGAAGAGGTCTGCTGAGTCTCTCTGAGGACAGCTGGGTCTGCCCAGGGGGAAGGGAGATCCAGGGGGGTTCACAGAGTGTCCCTCCTAATTCTGCTGAAGTGCCTTACTGGCTGAATTCCACATCCCCAGAGGGACCTGTCCTGGTGCTGTTACATGGAGAACACTGATGTCTCCAGTGAACAGCCTTGCAGAGGTGTGTACTGGTGCTGCTGCCCCAGTAGAAAGCTGGGCATGTGGCCAGGGAGGCTTTCTTTGGAAAGTGAGCACAGCACAGACCTGCAGGGTCTCACTGGAGTCCCCCCTGCAGGAACTGCAATGGGCTCTGCAGGGTGGGCACACGGGCTGCAAGGTCCAACAGGTCAGGATTTGCCTTTGAGTCACCCCAGAGGAGTGCAGGATTGGGAATGGGCAGAGGATACATTTGTAGGGAGAAATCCAGAAGGCTGGGAATGCCATTTTATGCCTAATCTCTGATGGGACTGAGAGATTTTTTGAGAAGTGTTAACTGTGTGATGTAGGTCCTCTGCCTGGCATGAGTGTTTCTAGCTGGTGGAGATTTTCCTTCTCGAGGAATTTGTGAGCTCCACCCATCTAGTTAAGAATTGTTTCCAGAAGAAATGGCATTTACCTGGCAGCCTCTGGAAACTTGTTAACTGCTTATATGGTGTACTGAGAGGGATTTTTGTCGGAAGAACTGAAATACATCCTTCTGCTGTGCTGACGGACTGATCTGAACGTTTCGTGCTTCTTCCACTACCTTGGACTCTGGAGAAAACACCTCCTGAGATCTTGTTTCCTGCAGAAAGCAGTGCCTGCGGGCACAGTAAATGACTCTGTGATGATGTGGGGCCTGTGATTAGTCTGTGTCAATATCCTGTTGGAGTAGGTCTCTGGACAGGCTTGCCTGGGTTGCATTTCTGCAGGGTACAGTGAGATTACGGGTTCCTGTTGTTGGGTGTTTTTCCAGTTAATGCAAAAATATGAGACTGACACGGCTTTTCTGGCTGCTTTGCTACATTTTGGTGTTTTCTTTGTAGTAGAAGTTTGATTAACTCATTTGTTTCTGAGCAGCAGTAGTGTTTTTCAGGGCATCATTTGGTAGATTATCCAAGATGAAAAGTCCTCCTGAAAAACTTCTGACACAGATACATTAAATGAGAAGAAAGAGACAAAGCTCTAGTCCCGGCTTTTACCATTTTGTTGGGTTTTTTTTTTTTCCTGCAGACGCCTTACTGGCAGACCTGGAATCAACCACCTCGCATATCTCCAAACGACCGGTATTTCTCACGGAGGAAACTCCTTACTCCTACCCAACTGGAAACCACACGTACCAGGAGATTGCTGTGCCACCCCCGGTTCCCCCGCCACCTTCCAGTGATGCCCTGAATGGCACCGTGATCGACCCCTTAGACCAGTGGCAACCCAACACCCCCAGATACGGCCACCAGCAGGTGAGTGGGAGAGTGCTTGTTTTGTAAGTGCAGGATCTCTCAGGAAAGCAAGGAGGAGGGAATAGGAAGAAGTGAGGATGAATTTGGCTATGAACAGAGCAGGGAAATAGCGGGAGGTGGGAGTTTTTATTAGAACTAACTGGTTGGAGCAAATGGCAGAAAAGAATTTGAAAGCCATCGTCATTGTGCTGACAAAATGGTGGTGTGATGAGATTAGTGTTAGTCATCTGTCTTGAGCCTGTGGAAGGCAGACTGGGGGTTTCCAGCACAAAGCTGTGACTCATAGGCAGGTCTAAAGTAAGGGGAAAACTGTTCCTGGTGTAGCTCATCTGATAGAGGCAGGTTTGACTAAAGAGCAGATTATTTTTTGTTCTGCCCTGTTAATTTATGGGTTTGCAGTGCAGTAGTGTACATATTTGTTTTTGTATTATGTTTCCAATGCAAATTTTGTTTCCACAGCCTCAGCCCCAGTCTCCTATATACAGCTCTAGTGCCAAAAGCTCCAGTGCCTCTGTTCCTAGAGACGGGCTCAACTCTCCTACTCCCCGTGCCAGTGAAGAGGAACACGTCTACAGGTATCCTGTGCCTTTTAAGAGATAAGTGTGACTCACAACTTGAGCTTGCTGAGGGTCAAACTGCCTTCTATAAGTGGAAACAAACACTGCTCTCCTTGTGTGTCATGTTGCTTTGTGTTAATTTTGATTGCCTCTTTTGTAACATGCCACTGTAACTTTCATACTCATTTCAAACTTTGACCTGGCCCTTGGGCTTGCTCAGCTGCAGGAAGTTAAGGATCCATCAGATGCAGCAGGATCTGGATTGTGTTGTGAAGGATATGATCCAGACACAAGTGACTAATCCACCCCCTGCTAAACAGCACAAAAGTTCTTCAGGAGGTGGATGGCCTTTGGGTTATTTTTACCTGGGAACTCAGTACTTGTGGCCTGGAGTGTTGTGCAGGAACTTGATTTTTCAGGTAAATTCAAACTTCTTAAAACTTCCATCTCAGTAGGTGATCGATGGATAACAAGTTCACACCTGCAAAGGCAGCTGCTCTCACTCGAGAGGTTGGAGGAGTATCCTGCACAGTAGGACAGACCTTTCTGCTATCATAGGGATGAGTGGTGCAGAGGCTGTCAGAAATTCAGCCTAGGCACCTTTTTACACTTTGGAGACTGATGTTTCTTTGGAGTCATCATCTAACCATGCCAGCTCTTTCTGCTGAGCAGGAAGTTGCTTCCAACCAGAACTAATTTTGGTTAGAGCTCAGCTTCTCTCTGGGCAGCCTAGCCAGAGATGGTCCAGTGGAGATGATAATTGCAATTTTTTCAGATGACTGCATGCAATTAGTATGAAAGGAACGTAATTAGAGCCATAAGTCCTCTTGAGCAAGGGTCTAGCATGACTTGATTCTGGTGTGAATTGTAGCTGGTGTGTTGGTTCGGCATGAAGTATGTTCTCCTCAGATTGCAGTTGTGGATCTTGTTTTTCAACCTGAAGAGAAGGATAACTTCCCTCTTGGAATTCATAATTGTCACTGGTGTTACAGGTGTCAGAGTTAACCTGCTCGATACTAACTTTTTGAGCATAATGTGGTCCTGTGCACAAGGCAGAAGTTCCCATTTTGGATTTGGAAAGTATCTTTTTGATAAAATAAGAACTTCTAGAGCATTAAAAGTTATTTCTTCTTTTGTAAATTCAGGAGAAGAAAATGTTCCTGCCATTAACAATGGAAAAGATTGTTACTACAGTGTAGCTGCTATAAAAATCACTGCATTGATGTGAAGTTCTGCTTTGGAACAGTTTGCAATTCTATGTGGTAAATAATATCAGTCATATAAGGCTAGCAGTAATTACAGCCAGTGCTTTATACATGAACGTGTATTTAACACAGTAGAAAATAATACCAAGATACTTTCTTATTAATTGATTAGAGTCCCCAAAATTAAAGGTGTGAGGACTTGGGGAGACCTTAAGGTTCTGCAAGAGGTGATGACATATCCTACGGCTTCTCAGTTTCTGCTGCTAACCTGAGGCTTGTGCTTTGCCTCTGTCTCCACTCTGTGCTAGCCCTGCATTCCCTCGCTCAGGGAGGAGGATGTTGCTGCTTGGTGTGGTGTCAGCAGAAACAAGTAATTTTCCCGTATGTGAGCTAATGGTTCTGCTGCTGTTCTATGCATTTTGGATCTACAGACAGTTAACTCTTTCCTACAGGACTGGGCAGCATGTAGTCCTAAAATCAGAGACCTTGTCCATCGATGCTATTTTTGTGATTTACAAGAGTAGCAGTGGCTGTGTTTAGTCATGTCACAAAGCACGTGTCTTCTTTAGCCACAGAGCTAAAAGCATCAGCCTGAAAAGACCACAGCACATGGGTAAAGTTTGGGAACCTAAGGAATTTCCCTCCATCCCTCTGCTGTATCTTGATGCTGATGTTTCACTTTTCTCTTTTATCTTCAGTTTCCCAAACAAGCAGAAGTCTGCGGAACCATCTCCCACAATGACCAGCTCCTCTCTGGGCAGCAATCTCTCAGAATTGGACAGACTCCTTCTGGAACTGAATGCTGTTCAACAGACTCCTGCCAGTGGCTTCACAGCAGGTAAGGAATAGGAAGACATTTGGTATGAGTGGATAATTTGATTCTCAGAATAGTAGCTTGCTTTTGCTTTCCAGCATCCTTAGTGAGGGAGACCCCTCCAGCCCTTAATCAAAGATTCATTTAGTGAGGGTGGCATCTCTTGAGGCTTGAGCTGCAGCACGCTGCTCAAAGCAAGGCCAACTTCAAAATTGCTTCTAACTAAAGTTTTGAAGTTAGTTTAGGTTGCTCAGGCCCTTGCACTGTTAAGTTGTTAATATCTTCAAAGATTGATGTTCCACAAGATTTCTAGACAACGTTTTGTATTTGCCTGTGATTAGCATATGTGTATGTGTGGAATGGGGTTCTGAATGGCTCCTTTCTGCTCCCATTTCTTCAGATGAGGCTGGCAGAAGCCCGTCACTGCCCAGTGTGGCTGGCCCTCACTATGTTGTCCCAGAGAGCAGCAGCTCAGGGGGAGGGAAGGCTGCACCCCCAACAAAAGAAAAGCCAAAGCGAAATGGTGCACGTGGGATTGAAGACGTGCGTCCCAGTGTGGAGAGTCTGCTGGATGAGCTGGAGAGCTCCGTGCCAAGTCCAGTGTGAGTAATGTTGTGGTGGTTGCAGGCTTGGGTGAGGTGGGATGGGCTCCTAGGGGAATGGTGACTGTAGCGTAGGGGCAGCTACTGCAGGAGAGGGATGGAAGATGGGCTTTGTGTAAAGGGTCAGAAGTCAGGTGGGTGCTGGTGCTTTGTAATCTACTTCTGGATGGAAAAATGCATAAATCATCCATTAGAGGTAGACTGTTCAAACTCAGATTTAGAGCTGACCACAAATACCTTTGTCTGACAGAATGAATGTGCAGGCATCATCTGTTTCTTAGCAGATGGGATGTGTGTGCACATGTGAGGCAGGGTCTGTGCATGTTGGGGAAGCTGGGTCAGGTTGGGCTGTGCTGATGGAAACTCCTCATGCTCTGCTTACTTGGGGGAGCAGTGGGACGTCCAGTCTAGGAGTGCCCTCCCATGTTTAAACACTCTTTCTAAAATTTTATTTTGTTTTCTCTCTCGGCCAGGCCTGCAATCACTGTGAGCCAGGGCGAGGTGAGCAGCCCCCAGCGTGTCACCGCCAGTCAGCAGCAGACCCGAATTTCTGCTTCTTCAGCTACACGAGAACTGGATGAGCTGATGGCATCTCTCTCTGACTTCAAGGTACCCTGTCATGACAGCTTAATACTTCATCTTGTCCCTATGCACCCCAGTCTCTCTTGCCTGTTAACCACATTTGCTGACCTTGGTTGGTCTCCAGAATGCCTCCTTTACCTCTCACATTTGCTCTGATAAACTTCCTGTGGTGTATTTGTGCTTTCCAAGTGGGGCTGTAGGTATCCTTGACTGCTATAAATTCTCATCACTGGCAGGGTAAGGCAGTTCTGGGATCTGTTTTTCCTTCAGTTCTGCAGTTTGTCTGTTTGCCAAAGATAATGAGCTTTGTTACTGCTCGGTACAGAGTGAATTATTTTGTTGTGCTACAACTTAATGAGAAGGAGAGAGGCATGGGACACCACTCTGCTTACTGACAGAGACCAGGCCCTTCTGTTCTGTGGGATGACTCCTCTCTGGAGTGTGTTTTTATTCTGATGTGCTTTCCCTGAGGAGAATGGATATTCTAGGCATTTACATCAGACAGAAGGAGATTTCAAAGGTTTTATCTTAAAACAAAATCTCTTATTCACCTCAACATGGGATTAAAGTTGGAGCTTCTTGTGGGGGCAAAGGATGGCAAATACTATTCAGTGTCTGCATATGTATTTGAATAACCTTTTCTTTATTCATGTGGGTGTATTACCATTTCTGCACTAGATGATGAACTGTGGAGGTTGTTTTCATGAGATTTCATTTACCCATACTCGTGGCAAAATGAAAAATACTTTCTCACTTCCTACTTTCAGCTGCTTTGCTTATAATTTTACTGAACTATTGACTTGGATTTCTTCTGAGAGAGGTGGAGAAAGCAAATGTACTGGATAATCTCTTTGTTAGGTTTGCCTTTTTTACATACCTATCTGCTTTCTAATCCTAAATCAGTTCCTAACTCTGTTTTATCCCTATATGGAAGATTCTGCTGGATGCCTGAGATTTCTTGTCTGTGCTGAATTCCATCCCCTCCTAGACGATGTTAGGTGGGGCAGCCAGAGCTAAGCAATGTTTTGTGAGGAGAGGTGCAGAATATGTAGTGACAACTTTTGGTGTTTGCTGTTCTTTCTGTGCTTGGTGGGTCCCATGGAGGTCAGTACAATACCCAGAGCTGTGACAAGTGTGTGAGTTCAGGACATAGCACTGTTCTGAAAAGCTTCACTTGCCTTGTGCTTGCTGGAATGGAATTCAGTCTGCCATGCCTGGCACATGCACCTAAATCGGTGAGAATCGGAGTTCCTCAGTGTTTTCTCTTGACTTAGTGTTGTGTGTGTTTAGTCAATTGTAAATATTGACACCTTAGCGTTGTCTTTTTTTCTCCTTCTGAGGTCCTGCGGTGTGGTGCAGGATAGCCACAAGCTCTGTTCAGCCTGGTTGAAACACTGCAGTGTTGTGAAGCTGGAGAGACTTTCCACTCGTGCCTCTGGCATTCTGTGCCCTGCTCCTTCCGTGTGCTAAGGGAGCTGAGCGCTGTGGCCGTGTGGCCCTGCTGCTTTTATCCGGAAACTAGCTCAGGGTGTGGCCCAGCCTTTGCTCCCGGATGAGCTCTCTGCAACTGAGAATGACCTTGCCCAGCACAGGTTTCTTTGGCAAGATACAGGGAGTGGACGTTTTTGACTGTGTGTGTTCCAGTACTTTGCACTCTTGAGAAGCTTTAGAATCTCCACTAAAACTGGCATGCCAGAGATGAGCTGCTGTGGCTAATACCACCTGCCTTCCTGGCTTAGTTTTCAGTTGATCTCAGAGACCAAATTGAAATGCAGCAAGTTGTTACGATTTGGGCCTTATTAAGCTCAGCATTGGTATTTTTGTGAAGCATTGAGCTCATCTGTGCCTAAACATTCTTCCTGGAGCACAAGGAACATGGCTTCTGTGATAATTTCCCTTTTGTTAATGATGTCATTGACTATTCTTAAGTTACTTTCCTTTTTTGCTGTCCTTCAGGTTGCTTCGTTTTCCCTTTGGTCCTTTTTGTTTAGTTTACCTCTTTTGATTGTGCCAACTGGGGGTGTTAACTTGCCTGTAAAAATGTATTCTAGTCTGTACCAGTGTCAAAGGGGAGTTCTTGCAAAGGTGAAATATGAAAGGCTGCTGTTTGAGTATCAGACCTGTGTGTGACTGCAGAATATAGGATAAAAACCACAAATATGATGTGTAATTACTTGGAATTGATAGAAGCTGCATTAGATAAGGATGGGAGGAGTGGAGGGCACTGGTGCTTGATTTGCCTTGTACCCCCGAGTAAAAGGTGACGATAAATTCCTCTTTTATTATATTTGCTCACCCTAATTTGTTGCCCCTTCTTTTTGCTTACCAAATCCATTTGATTTTGGTTATCTGGTTAATCAGTCATCGGGCACTGAGATTACTTAATGCACTTGTTTTTTTGCCCTCTGCCATTTCTGTGTAATGTGATGCCTGCTTACTGCATAGCTGGATGCTTTTAGTTAACTGTTCTGTTACTGTTGAGTGCTCACCCATTGCTTTTATTTTGGAATTAGTATGATTTCAGTATGTTGAAAATCCTGACACCTGAGCAAAACTTCACTCTTGCCTTGAACATGACTGACTTCATTTTAGGACCTCTGGAAACCAAATGTGAAGCACAGCATCAAACCAGGTTACTTTTACAGGTGTACCCAGCTTAGGCAAAATTTGGGGAGAGGGCACTGTTGGGAAATTCCCTCATTTCAATATACTTGATAGTCATTTTCCTCTCAGTTGTGACTGGTTACAGTAGCCTGGCTGTGCTACTCAAAGGGAAGAGCAATCTGTAAAGAAATTTGGTCTCTTACTGCACTTTCCTTTCTGAGAACAGTCTCCTTGTAGCACTACTGGTGTGACTTTGCAAGCTTGTGCATATGTGCCAGCTCCTGGCCCCTTAGCATGGCAGGAGCTCAGGCCAGCTGAAGGTTATTCTTCTTCCATTTACTGACAGGTTTTGTGCATGTTCCGTTAATTATATAGTTTTTTTTTTCATTATAAGTATCTCAGAAAGGTAAGTGGAGACTGGGTGGTAGCATATATGGGGCTTAGGAAGTTATGTGCCCTTCCACCTCAGAGCATAAGCATCTGGCTTTTTTAGGCTTCTCTGGAAAATATGATTCAGAGTCAGTCAGAGCAGGTCTTGATAGCTCTTGGATTTGGAAGTCCTTTGTGGGTACATTTTTAAAACTGAGAAGGCACAGTCTTGGTCTTAGGTTGACCTGCTGTGTGAGCTTGTCCAAGTCGCTGTTCTGAGTCTCCCTTTCTAAGAAAAAGGAGCAATAGTACTTCATCTCCTAGAGTTTAGCCAGGAACCACTGGAAGTGGGGAAAGAAGGACCTATGCTCTTTTGTTTTTAAAAGATCCTGTAAGTCAAGGAAAACCAAAACCTATGTATTAGTTGCTCTTCTTGTTTTTTGGATCAAAATTAATACTGATTTTATTACAATGTCATTGTGGAGTCTTTGGCCTAAGGGGAAGAGGCTAATCTGCCACCTAAGCAATGCTCACAAGGGCATGGAATGACTGACAGGCTTGTATAGATTTGGTGTGTGTCACTTCCAAGGTGAGATTAGTGATGTGAATAGAACAAAGCCCATGTTATCTGCTCTTGCTGTGAATGCCCTGAAGCTTTGTTTTCACTGCCATGAACTCAGCCAACTGGTGCATTTTATTAAGTGTATCAAGAAGAAAATGTCATGCTTTGTTCTAGTCATTGACTGAATTTTTTGCAGCTTTGGAATATGAAATGTACATACCTAACTGTGAGTAAGTTTATGAGACCTTTATTCACAGTGAAGACACTCCTGGGTTTGGAGCTGGCTTCTTAGCAGTGGCTGTGCTGTGCCCCCAGCACAGCTGCAGGTGAGCACTGAGCTGTCATTGAGGAGGAGGGTCTAGGAAAAGGATCCCAGTGGATGTAGAGCTCATGAAGATCAGTACAATGTCATACTGGTTCTGCTCTTTGGTGTCTCATTTTTCTTCCTTACTCTTGGATGTAAGGATTTGGGTCAACATGACTTTTTGATTTGGAAGTCATGATTCTTATAATGCTTAATTCTTTGTCTTTTTTTACTTCTCCTTATCTCTGTCATTATCTTTTTCTCTCCTTATTCCTTCTATCTCTTATTTTGCAGACTAATTCCACTATGTCTCTGATTTCTGAGTCTTCCCTAGAACCAGTCCTCAGTTCAGCAAATGTAGACTCCAGCAACACTCCTCACAGTTTAACAGTGCTGTCCCATTCCAAACACCCTTCTGCAAGTCACAGTGGGGACTCAACAGTGCCAACAGCTGTCCCCTCAGCAGACACCTGCATTGAGGAAGGCAGTGACACCACAGTTCTGCCTTTGTCAGGGCATCCTGCTGCCCCTCCACCTGTGCCCCATTTAGCACAAACTGTCCCTGTGCCCCCACCACGGAGCTCCTCTGGTTATGCTACTCATGGGGAGCAAGTGGCTTCTGCCAGCTTAGTTCAGCTGAAGAGGAAGCCTGACTCTTCCAGAAATTCTTCCCAGGCTGTGCCAGCTTCCAGTGTGGACCTTCTCTGTAGATCTGCTGATGTGGAGGCACGGGGCTTAGGGGATGACGTGGCAAAAGAGGCTGAGAAGAAGGAGCAGAGAACTGACCCCAGAATCTCAAGTGTACCCATCTCAAAGAAGGGGCAGATACCCAAGGAGCTGCATCAGCAGGGAGCGCTCAGGGACAACTCAGCTCTTTCTTCCCAGGCCAGCAGTGTGGAAACAGCTTTAGATGGGCTGTGGGCCCTGGAGCTGCCTGCACATGTGCCAGAGGTGCATGCAAAGAATGACAATGTTTTGGATTCTGTTAATGAACCTCCTGTTGTTGCCCTGGATCGGTGGGATGTCTTCCCAGACACTAAAAACCAATTGGGCTTCACAGTGGTGCAAGGACAGGGGCTAAAAGCTGAAGTGTCACGTGAAACCAAGGTGTACCACTGTCCTGATCTGGGCAAGAAGAGGCAGGGCAGAGACAAAACTCTTAGGAAGGGAGGTACTGCTAACGTGAACAAGGCCAGAGGAGACCAGGAAAATGGGCAATTCAGAAGCTCTGCAGGCACTCTGGAATCTACGGAAAACTTTGGGAAGGCTGAATGGGATCTGCCATGTGTCTCCAAACCACCCATTGAGAGGATTTCTGCATCAGGCCAGGCAGGCACTGAGTGAATGTAGGAGTGGGGCAAGTCCTAGCCAGGACTGTTCTGCCAGCACACTAACAGTGTGTGCATGCAATGAGTGTGCCTGGGCTAACCTAACCCCACTAACAGCACGAGCTCTGAGCAGTGTCACTGACAGCTGCATGTCACAGGGCTTCACACCCCCCGGCTTTATCTTGTGGTCTCTCCTGCGTGAGGTTCAGCAGCACAGAACATGGCAGTTTGTAGGGACTTCCTTGTGAAGTGGACTATTATTCCCTAACTGGGTAAGGCTCAGTCCACAGAGACCTCCAAAAAGTTGAAAGGGCTGTTTCGTGCTACTGATTGGGATGGCAGCTCCTCTGCTCTGCTTACCATTTTAGGTCTCATTACTGAATCTGTCAGTGTTCCATTCCATGCTGGAAGTACACTTTGTGCATCAGACATCTCCGACCAAGAGCCTTGTGCCTGTCAAGGGCAAACACAGAGGCACAGCTCTGTGCCCTTGTGATGCTGAGATTTCTGTAATGCTCAGTGGAGTGCTTGTGCTGCACCTCCTATCTTGGCTTCCCACTGGTTAATCTTTCCCTTCCTTTTCTAGACAGTTATTTTTGGCTGCTGTGGTTATCCTTACTGGGTTTTTCCTTGCACTGAGTCACTGTTCTGGGCTGTGCCAAGAGGAATTTTGGCATTGTGGAATAAATGCCATCACTCTTCCTGCTCACAATTGTCACTAATGTCTTTGAGTTTGTGCTGTTGCATCTTGGGGCTTGCTCTGACTTTGCTCTTCTCTGCTGATACTATTGCCTTTGTCATTTAGATTAAATCTTTAATCAAGAGGACAAAAGAGACTTCGAATGTGCATCCAATGTCTCGGGATCTCTCTCCAAGGCGTAAACTAGGTCCTGCCATATTCCACAAGACTGAGTCGCAAGATCGCTTGATTGAGGAACTTCAGGACAGACTGGGCATCGATAACCAGGAGCAGGAAGAATGGCAAAGCCAGGATGCCTGGCTGACAGAGGGGGTCATTGTCACTGCCAGGCCCCGGGGGGAAGAGCAGAGTGGTGAACAGCAAGTAGAGAAGGTAGAAAGCAGGGTCACACGCGCTGGGAAATTCCAGCATGTCCCTCTGTCCAGATCGCATTGTGTGGAGGTGCAGATTGAGTTTCTGAGCATCCTAAACAACATAAAATTAAGAAGTAACTATTCACCCTTGTCTGGTCTGAGAGGGAAGGCAGCACAGGTTCCTAGTTCTGGATGTTTAAGAACTGGAGTGGGATCTGAGGGAGCTGCTTGTGGTATCTGTTGATGCAGTCTGCTGCTATCACATCTCCAGTGTCCATGTGGGGATTATTTCTGAAACTCCACTGGGAAGCCTGACACACAGGCTTTGTTTTTTCCAGTGCTGTACCTGTGCAGGGCTTTCTGGGGATGAATAAGATGGTGCTCTTCCTTAAGCTACAAAGAGTGGCACCTTTTGTAGTTCCCTTCTCCTTCTTGCTGCTTTTTCCCCTTAGATAAACATACTGGTGGCAGCCAGCCTTCCAGTTGAAGGAAGTGCTTGTTGGTTCCTCTTTGGATTTATTCACCTTTCTTCTTCCTCCATGTCTTTCTAGGTGGTTTTTCCTCCAGAATCCCCACTCCTCCCCAGGAGGACAATCTCTGTTCCAGTCTCTTCCCAGCTCCAGCCTTCCAAAGAAGCTGCAAAGATAGTCCCTGCTAATGCTGCTCCTTCTCCTGCCTCTGGCCCTGCACCTCTTCTCTCACTCCCACCTCAGCCTTCCCATGTGTCATCTACCCCAGCTCCTAGTCCAGTCTCTTCCTCTTCCTTCAGCTTGGCTCCCCAGCCTCTCCTCCGGTGGGAAGCTTCTGATAATGATTATCATGAGGTTTCTGTTGTGGGCACCCCTCCTAATGAAGATCCCAAACATTCCTATTCTCCCCAGACCTGGACTCCTAGCAACAAAGCACTTGTCTCTGTTGGTTGTCAGACTGAAGATGAAGCTTTCTTCCCAGAAATGCAGGCAGGCTTCTCTATTCTGATCTGTGTTTTTAGCAGTATTTTCCAATCCAACTATTGCTTGTAATTTGACAGCTCAATAGATACAGTGTTCAGGTAAAGGCTGGTATGAACTGCTGGATGGGAGGGAGGACTCATGGCCAGTATCCAATCCCAGCTGTAGCACTGCACACTACATGTCTGTGCAACAACTTGCTGGGATATGTGGGTCCTGTGTGTCCTGACAGTCACTTTGTGCAGCAGGGACTCTCATTTCCCTCTGAGATTAAGAATGTAACTCTGAAACATAGCCTGGAGCTCTCCCTGCCACAATCTCTCTGAAGTGGGGGGAGTAAAAGGTGGCAGAACATGCGTAATGGAAGGAGCAACTCAGCAATGCTTCCTGTGTTTACCTTTTTAGGCAGATGTCCACTGTACAAGTGTAATTGGGGGAGGAGACAGCATGGTCTGGGTTCTGCATCTCCTACCAGGGAAGGGCTGTAGCCCCAGGGTGGTGGGGAGTCCTAACATACATGTGCAGTGCAGTGTTAGAGTACAGGCTAAAACAGTGAGCAAGAAACATCTCTGCATCTTGACCTGTTGTACTTTCCAGGTGACCTCTGCTCCTTCCCTAGTCCACAGTGACAGTCTGTTGGCTGCTCCTGCACCCTGGGGCCCCACAACCCCTGACAAGGCAGGATCCCCTTTCTGTTTCCTCAGCATGGTGTGTGTTCTTCTGGTTGATGAGTGTGCTGGGATCTGCTCCTGGAGCTCCCAACACTGTTAATGTGGATAATATCCTGTATTGCATGGTTTGCTACTCATAGAATTCCTTTCTGAACTTGAGTGGTGGCAAATCTCATGGGTGAAGGGTGGGAGTTCGAAGAGCCTTTGCATGATCAGTTTGCCTGAGGATGATGTGCTGAGTGTCCCATACACATAAGCATGCATTATGTACAGGAGGTGGAAACAAACCTCTTTCAGGTGTGGGCTCGTTTGTGAGCTGTCAAGAGGGCTGGATGGCCAGGCCAGATAGAAATGGAGGTGTGCACAGGTATTTGTGTATTTGTGCTTGCTCTGGGGTCAGCTGTGACTGGCAGGAGCGTGTGGTCCCTCCAGGTCACTACAAGGGTGAAGTGCTCTGCTGCTACATGTTGAATTAATCTCATCTCCTTTCTCCCTGGATGGTATTTATCACTTGTGTGTGGCACCTGTATCTGCCCTGCGTGGCCATAACCCCTGGTTAGAACAAGAGAAGCTGTGATTCTTTCCGCACAGTGCAGCCCTTTTCCTCTTATTGCACCATGCAGGAAGCCTGGGCTTTATCCTGGGGCACTGGACTGGCTTTGTTTCCAAACACCTGTTGTCTCTCTCAGTGAGAGTATCCTTGAAGTTGTCTGTGTGCTTTGGAGGTAGTCACTGTAGCAGTTTTTGGTAGCAAATGTGTGTTGTGTGGTGAAGAGTTTGTTTTAGGACGAGGATGCTGGGGTGTGATGGGGCTGCTGTGTGCTGCTGGTCTAGGAGAGGTAAGATGAGAGAAGAGGGGAAAAGCTGTGTGTTAGGATCCATTGGGAGTCACGCTGCATGTGAGCCAAGGCTGGGGAGTGTGTGGATGTGTAAAAGCAGTAAATTCATGTATGTCATAAGAATGTTTATACAAATGAACAGAAACCAGGATTTGTCATTGAGTAAACTGGTCAACTGCAAGGACAAGCAGCTGCAGGACAGGGAATAGAGCTCCTCCTGTGGCTAGAAGGGCAGGGTCTGCCAAGGCTTGGAGCACTTGGAGCACATGTCCCTGCTCCTTTGGCTGTGTTGGCGGCAGGCTGGTAGGCTGTTCATAGGCATAGATTTTGTCTGTTTTAATTTACTCCCTTAGTAAAAGAAAACGTGCTCTAAACCAAGCTTCTCTGTGTGTCCCTAAACCTGACAGTATCTATGGTAGTGCCAAGTCAGCTAAAATAATATCTATTTCCTTGTTGGGGTTTTTCTGCAAAGGAGGCTGTGGTGGCCAAGGAGAACATATGCGTTGTTTATAAGTTTCAAACCTCAATAAAACATTTCTCCCCTCCCCTGGGAAGCCTTTCCAAGCCGTGTGTGCTCTGGCGGTGTGACTTTCAGAAACAGCCTCTGAGACACGCATCCAAATCCCCCTCCCCCGCTGGTGCATTTCCAGCTGCAATACACCTAGCAGCCCTAGGGGATGCACTGCCCTCTCTGCAGGTAAACAGCAGCCAGCTGGGAGAGAGTTACTTCCTTCCTGCTTCCAGTTGCTTAGCTCAGGCATGGGGTGAGAACCACCTGAGAGTGAGAGAGAGACTTGGCAAACAGATGTGCAGGTGGTGGTGCAAAAGGAGAAGATTTTCTAGCTGAAAGGGAGGTGAGATGAGGGAGAGAAGAGCATCTCCATGAGAGAGGAGAGACAATTGAGAGCAAGAGCATAGGAACGGAGAGAGGTCAAGGAGAAGGGGCCCTCTGGATGGCGTCTGCCTTGTCAGCTGGCCAGGAACTGATGAGGTAAAGGGAGATTTTTGGCAGAGGCTTAGAGAGCACTGTACTGAGTGCCTGGGATGTGCTGGTGACTTTTGCTGTATGTGCAGTGAAAGAAAACAAAGTCCTCAGTTGACAGCTCTGCTGTTACGTATCTCGGTTCTCTGCATGTCTCTGCATGGGCAGAATACATGTGTGTACTTGATCCTGGCTCTCACCAGCTTCTTCAGAGAGCATAGCTGACTCCTGTCTGTCTCTCCAGGGGAGTCACTGGCAGTAACAGTGGGCATTTATCTGATAAGCATAGCAGCATTCACCTTACAGTATTTATTTTCTCTTACCTGCAGTTCATGGCACAGGGAAAAGCCGGGAGCAGCTCCCCTCCATCCACAGCCTCCAAGCCTGGCAGTCAGCTGGATACCATGCTGGGAAGTCTTCAGTCGGACCTGAATAAACTGGGTGTAGCTACAGTTGCCAAAGGTGTCTGTGGAGCCTGCAAGAAGCCTATTGCTGGGCAGGTGAGTTGAAGGTGCTGCCTCATTGCTGAACCTTGGGCTGCAGCTGGGAGTAATGGGGAGGGCTGTTTCGTGAGGCTGGAGAGACTGGAGATGCTGGAGAAACTGAAGTACTCTATTTATCCACTGGCTAGGTACGCTGTAAGCTCCTCCAGTGACCTCTACCCTGCCCCTGAGGGACTGCCCTCTCCTGAGATGATAGGTAATTCAGTTTTCATGCTACCCCAGTCCAGGGCTCACTTGAGTAGTAGAACTTGTCATTCTTGCTGACCTCCAGCTGGTATCTTGTCATGTGGTCTAGGGGAGGGAGAGATAAGAGTTGTTCTCCAAAATCTGTTTTCCCAACAGGTAGTTACAGCCATGGGGAAAACCTGGCACCCTGAGCACTTTGTCTGCACCCACTGCCAAGAGGAGATCGGGTCTCGGAACTTCTTTGAACGGGATGGGCAGCCCTACTGCGAGAAGGACTATCACAACCTCTTCTCTCCTCGCTGCTACTACTGCAACGGGCCCATCCTTGATGTGAGTTCCTTGGGGGAGTCATGGTGATGGCAAATTGCTGCAGGCCTAGGTGTTAAAATTCCACTTCTCCCATGTATCCTGGGTGGAAGGTTTTGTTCAGGGATTTCTGTAGTTGTTTTGTCCTTCCTTTGAAAGGGAAACAACTTGGCACAGTCAAATTCTTACACTAGTGAGTGGGGTTGGTTGTTCTTTTCTTTGCTGAAGTTCCTTCAGAACCCCACATTGCTCCATCATTCTGGTAATGATTCCTCAGCTTTTGTTGTTGGTAGCCTGTGGTAACAGGCACCAGTGCTGGTCTTTAGGACTGGATGGGGCCCTGTGTAAGGGAGGAAGCAGTGCCTAAGATCCTTTTAGGGTAAAAAAAAGTGTGCGGTGGGAAAGTCTGAATGAGCCAGAGGCAGGGGCAAATTGACTCTGCTTTCTAAAGGACAGTCTATTTTAAAACTTGCTTTTGCCAGCACCAACATTAATGTGTCCTTTCCTCTCTCCAGCCCCCCTTACTCACCTCCAAGTCATTTATATGACCTGCACTTTGTGTTTTCTTCTGAACAGAAAGTGGTGACGGCTTTGGACAGGACATGGCACCCTGAACACTTTTTCTGTGCTCAGTGTGGAGCTTTCTTTGGACCTGAAGGTATTACTTGTTTATGCAAGGGGAAAGCAATCTCCCCTCTGAACTGCAGATGAGGGAGTAATTACAGATGAGTGGGGTACAGCCTGAGGCATCACAGGGGAACTACTGGAGTTCCAAGGGACCTGTTTATGGGGGAAGGATGGTGCCAGTAATAATGGCTTTCCCTGGGGAAGAAGAACATGCCTCTGCTGGGAGGGGAAGGGAACAGAACAAGAAATAGTCTAGCTGCTGTGTATGGTAGCAGGAGGAAGGATGATCCTACCCATATGGGTTACCCTGCACAGGTTTTGTGGCCACAGGTGAAGATGGGGAGCTGATCCCTTTGCCTCTCCTCTCTTCTGGCAGGATTTCATGAGAAGGATGGCAAAGCCTATTGCCGCAAGGACTACTTTGATATGTTTGCTCCTAAGTGTGGAGGCTGCGCCCGGGCTATCCTGGAGAACTACATCTCTGCCTTGAACACCTTGTGGCACCCCGAGTGCTTTGTCTGTCGGGTAAGAAACCCAAGGTCCTTTGCTGCTGCTGTATGACCCTTCTTGTTTCCACCCTGAGGCATCTGGTCCCATATCAGGGTAAGGTGTCTGTGGGGTAGTGAAGGGCAGCCAGCCCCACAACATCAAAATATGCCAGCAACCTTCTTGTTCTCTGTCTGGTTATATTAAACTTTGGAGTTGCTTTGGTCTTTCTGTTCCCAGCTTTAACTATGGGCTTCTGCAGCAGCTCACAGTTATATTTTCTGTGACCTTCAAATAATTAAAAGCAAAGCTTCTCTCTGAGCACTTGCCTCAGCAATCAGGTTTTGAGTATATTCCTCCCATGCTCCATCTGAAAATGTAAACTAATGAGAGTGACCTTGTTCAGACAAACATGCAAGTCAGTGAAATAGTGGCAGGCTCCATATAGCAGGCATAATAAACAGGAATACTGCAGATTAAATGCTTGGCACTCTTTCAGAGAGCATTGTAAATATTAACTCTTACTGTCCCCAAGTGATGAGCCAAATCAGCCACTGTTTTCTTGAGCAGGAGAGAAGGCAGAAACCAGATCAAGCAGCCAGAACTACAAGCTGCTGATTCCTGTTGTGGTGCCCAGAGCAGACAGTCACTGGCCTGTTGGGACTGTCTGTGGCTCCTGCAGTGGTGTGCAGAGTGAGGCAGAAGCTGTGCCTGACTGGGGCTGGGGGGGTTGTGCCTTCTCATACAGAGATTGAGACTCTATCAAGCAGTTCTGTTTTCCTTTCCTCCTGCTGCAGCCTGAATTAGTGAGGCCAGCACAGATTTCTTCCAGGCCACAAGATGTGATTCTCTTCCTCTTTCTGCAAAAGCAGAGCAAACCTTTCAGCTGTTCTGCTGATTGAAGGAAGAGACTGTCTACTGAAGTAACTGTCATTATTGGTAAAGTCTTGGACTTGCTGCAGGCAAACTGCATTCTCCTGGTACTGCAAGTGTTTAGCTGCCCATGGCTCTGCATGCTGTTTGCTGGACTCTTGTCCACATGCTGGGAGCCAGCTGTGTGTGATACTCAGTGTCCTCCCTGGGGAAGAGGACAGCAAAACCAGGATTCAGGAAACTGGCTCCTCTGGCTCTTGCTGCTGCTGTATTTGGTAAATCTGGCAGTGTCCTAAACTCTCTCCCTTACTCTGCTGCCTCAGTTTCCCACTTTTACAAGGAGAGGAGTGAGGAGTCTCCCCAGTCTGGTGGGGATAGTTGTTGCGAGTTCTGCAGTGAAGTGTCCTCAGCTGCCTGACATTGAGGGGGAGGGAGCAGCTCTGAACATTTATTTATTAGCACATAGCTGGTATATCCTCTTCCCCTTACCTATTTATTCAACACCATTAGCACTATAGAACAAACAGTTTCTCCCAGCAGTGACCCATATGTAACTGGTGGAAATATTTCAGGCTGAACAATCTTCTGCAGAGTGTACCTGCCTAATGCCAGCCATTCTGGAGAGGTCACTAATAAAGATTAATTGTGCCTGATTTTCTCAGCTGGAACCAGTCCCATGCTCATCAGGATTCTGCTGCATGAAAGTCTCTGTTGGTCCTTTCTTCTGCTTGCCCTTGTGGGGAAACTGGAGTGAAGGAAAAAAAAACCAAAAAACTAGGGAAAAGTGCTGCAGTGTTTCCCATCTCAGGGCAGAAATGTTCTCCTTTTTCCTGGCTGGATACATCTCTTAGCTCATCCATAATATTTTCTATGTAGAAGTGAAGCCAGCTGGGCAAATGATCTGATTAATTCACTTGGTTGTGTCTGTATCTGTCCATTTCTCAGTCTGTTTTTGGCAACTCCTCATGATGGACAGAGTTTGGCTCTGGATAACTGGACAGTGCTGAAAGGCAGCAGTTCACCTGCCCACAGCACAGCTGGGCTGAGCCATAGAGCAGAGGATGGGTGTAGAGCTGCCTCCTCCCCACTACCCCAGCTTCTCTTACAACCTGTCCCCTTTGTTTTGTCCTGCTGCAGGAATGTTTCACCCCGTTTGTCAATGGCAGCTTCTTCGAGCACGACGGGCAGCCCTACTGCGAGGTGCATTACCATGAGCGCCGCGGCTCGCTCTGCTCCGGCTGCCAGAAGCCCATCACAGGACGCTGCATCACTGCTATGGGCAAGAAATTCCACCCAGAACACTTTGTCTGTGCCTTCTGCCTCAAGCAGCTCAACAAAGGAACCTTCAAAGAGCAGAACGACAAGCCCTACTGCCAGAACTGCTTCCTCAAGCTCTTCTGTTAGAGGCACTATAGATGGGCGCTCAAGCATCTTTCTGCCACCCCCTTGGCAGTTCTGTCTCTCTGAACATTACTGTGATTTAGGAACCTTACCAGGCAGGGGAGGAGGGGGGTGGGGGGTGGGAAGTGCTGCTATGGAGAGGCAGTAGATCCAGAGATGAGATGGACCATTAAACTGGAAACGCCCTTGCTGTGTCTCAGAAGAGAGAGGCTGACATCCCTCATTACGGTGTGTGTGTGTCTGTGTGTGTGACTGATAGCTGAGCTTAGCTCGAGGGCTCTAACAGGGAGATTTTTCCCAGCCCCCTCCTGGCAGCAGGAGGCTTTGCCAGTACATTTCAGCCTCTGTCAGCTCTCTGAGCAAATGGTGACACTTGCAGACAACACAACCCTCTGCTTTGACACCTCATTCTCTGGCTTTTGCCTGCACAGCGAGGCCACCCTGTGACTTTAGTGCCACCCTGGCTCTCCTCACAGAGTTACATGGTGTGTGTGACTTGCTGAGACTAGAGCATCCAGCACAGGCAGCCAGGACCCTGCAAGGGTCTCTCCAGTTCCATTACACTGTAAGGAGATAATACCACTTACTCTTTTTTTAATTAAGAGGAATCAAGATGTTACTGTGTGGGGTGATTTTCTTTTTTTCCCTAGTTTGTTACTCCCTTTCTCAATGCCTTTTCTCAGCATACTGGAGCAGGAGGTGGGGTAAGCCCCAACCATCCCTCAGCACTGTTGTGCTCTCCTGTGGGGACGTGCTGTGCCAGGCAGCTCCATAGGCACCCAGGCCAGCTCAGGGAATCTGCTCCCCTCACCTGCTGCTCCTGGGAGAGGAAGAGGCATCACCCCTTGTTTAAACACAGGTGCAGAGAGGTTAGAACAGCCTTTTTCATCCAACCCTGTCATGAGCGAGTGTGACGCGTGTGTGTTTGTCTGGTCTGAAACTCTCCCATCTATCAGGGCCTGAATCTATCACAAGAGTGACGAGAAGGAAGGGTTTAAGAAGCCAGAAAAAAAAAAAATTCCTAAATTTATATCCTTTCTTCTTCCAGTTTGTTAATGAGACTTATCAGCCCCTTGGTGTTTCCTTTTCTGTGCTCTTGTTAAACATGTTCTACTGAGAGATGCTACAGCAATAACCTTTTATATTGACTGTTACTGGTATAATGAGTCCTGGGGGTCAGGTGTGCACGACACACTTGGAGTTTTACTATCAAAATGAATACTGTATCCTGTCTTTGATAAGAACTGTAGATTTCTACACTGATTTTGAATTCATATCTAATTTACTTTTAATCCTCTTATACAGAAATTGGTTTTGAAGTGATTTTAAAAAAGCAACTTTTATATCAAGCTATGCTGTTCTAGGCAGTGTGCCAGTTGTGCTGGCTTACTGCATCTGTAATCTCAATGCTTTATTAAGCCTAACTAACATTCAATATTTCCTTTTTGTTGCGGGTTGGGAGGGGCTGCAATCTATGGGCAAGGGAACACGACTTGTATTTTTTTTTCCCTAGCACAGGCAGGTGAACTGTGAATAGATTTGAGTTTTGGGTTTTTTTCCTCCTCTGGGTCACCTAAAGGTATAATTTTGGTTTTTATTGTAACCTGTAAACTGCTGTATTGGAATCACCTGCCGTTCTCCCAAAGCCCAGCTTCCAGGATGTCAAAAGTGAGTCTTATTATGATGCTAGGGGGGAAGGAGTTCAGATCTTTTACCTTAATTTCTCTTCTTCAGCTGCCTGAAACCAGAACAGGGTTAACTGGGAAAGGGGCTCCTTTCGTTCTGTGGAAGAAAGGTCTTGTGACAGAGAAGAAACTGGGAGACGAGTCTGTTCCTGACTAGCTGTGCAGCTTTGGGCCAGTCACTAAACCTTACCGTGCCTCAGTTTCCCCATCTGTAAAATGGGGGCAGTTTAGGCTGGATTTGTGAGGTTATTGAGAGACCTAGTTCATGTTTGGTAAAGCACTTTTAGGTCTCTGACTGGAGGGTGCTGTGGAGAGGGAAGTACTGTGCTGAAATTCCCAGTGGCATTCTGTGGTACCAGCCCTGGGGGTGGTGCTTGGAATTACTGCTCCAGGGAGCTGCAGCTCTGTGGCCATTGACATCCAGTTGTGTTTGCAGCTTGGCAGGTGCATTATAGGGGTCCAGGGGTGGCTGTTTCAGAAACCAGCCCTGAAACCCGTGGGTCACTATCCCATGTAACCTCGTCACAGTGCTGCACTGCCCTGCTCAGGTCACTGAAACTGTCCCATGGATTTCCCCCAACAAACAAACCTCAGTGTGTGGGTGTGAGGCCAGAGGGAGCTGTGGGAACGCTGGAGCTGTGTCAGCTGGGCTGAGCACAGCTGTGGGAAATTCTTGAGGCAAGAGTCCTTGTACATTTTTGCCTTTTCATCTTTTAAGTCTATTTGACTTAAAATGGATGTTCCTAAGCTGCCTGTGTTTATCTTGCTGGAATGATCAGCTTCCTTGGCGCCGCTGAGGGACACACAGCTGTTGTGTGCAGATGCTGGAGAGGGGTGAGATGTTTCTGGCACTGCCACTTAGTGTGACACTGCAAACTGTGTAATCCCGTGCCTCAGTTTCCCTGTGTGGGGAATCTTTAAGCTACCTCACTGCTGGCTGAGGCTTTGTCAGTGATACTTGTGGCACAGCTGGGTGCAGGGTGCTGTGTGGGGTGAGTGGTGCTGAGTGGAGGCTCCTCTGGCCTTAGTGCTTAACCGAGATGATGTCGCACTCACCTTCTGCCTTCATCTGGTGTCTGATATGCTGGGATGCCAAATAGCGAGCAGCTGATGCTGCTTTGCCAAATACTGCCCGAAATGGGTGCCCGAAATGCCTGTTCGTTCAGTGTAGATGGGATTTTAGGGTAGCACAGCCTCTGTTGGGGTGTAGGGGTGCACCGGGAGGGTGTGTGCGCCCCCGGGCCGGCGCTACCCCTGGGGACGGCCTTTCACAGCATGTCCCGGCTGGGCTGGGCTGGGCTGGGGGAAACTCCGCTGGGTCGACAGTTATTTGATTCTTGCCTGCCTTGTAAACTTTTAACTCCGCTTTTTTTTTTTTTTTT